ACATGCCCCCCCCTCCCCCCACTCCACCCCACCCCCCGTCATATTGCCACTCCAGTCCCCAGAGTCAGCTTTGCTTGTCTGACCAGGCCATTCCCTCAGGACAACACCCTGGCACCAAGGCCCTGGACGGCCTCCCTCCCTGACTTCATTTGCTGCTGCCACCTCTGCCTGACGTGACCCCTGACCCGGTGCTGTCTGCCAGCACACCCTGTGTGCTTCCCATCACCCATGCCCTGCGCTCCGCCCAGAGGGCACATCCCCGCTGTCTCCCACAGCTGTCCTGGCTGACCTGCCATGCACCCGAGAATGGACCACTGCCTTTCTTGTGTCCCTGCCTCTCTACACTGCTCGGCCCCCACTGAGCGAGGAGGCTGCTGAGGGCAGATTGTGCCTTGGCCAGCTTTTGTGTCCCCAGTACTCAGCCCAGCATCTGGCCCAAGGGGCATTGGCGAGGACTGGCTGACCTGACCAAACCAGGGCACATCACCCGCCACTCCTGCATGCCCTGAGTCACCCTGTGGCTGGGCTTCACGTGGTCCAATCACACGGGTATGTTCAATTTTAGTTGCACAGGTGTGTATAAACTTGAAGGAAGACTTTAAACAATAAAGAGGCAAAAGGAGGGAGGTATTTAGGAGGGTCCCCTCCATATGCTGCCCCTGCTGTCCCAAGGGGCCCCTACCTTTCTCAGGGTCCTTCAGGCTGGAGCGGACAATCTCCACCACCTTCTCCACCTCCTCGCTGCTGCAGACGTTGAGCTGGACGGTTCTCAGTCGGTCACTCTTCAAGCTGTCCAGCTCCTTAACTCCATCACCCCCTTTGTCCTGGGGAGGAGAGAGGACCTGGGTCAACACCCCTCCTTCCGACCCTGAGGCAGACTCGGGGATGAGGACCACGGCAGAACCTGGCCCCCAGACCCTGCCAAGCCCTCAGGCCTCCCAGCAACGGCAGACGGTATTCTCTGGAGGCCCAACCCGGCCTTTCTCCCGAGCAAATGGTTCTGCTTAACCCCTCAGTACTGATGACATACGAGGGGACTTGAAAACGGTCATGGAGATATGGAATTTAAATCTGAATTTACTTAGTGCAAAAAATTCTGAAATCCATGATAGTTTTTTCATCATATACTTCTTCCACTAACCTTTGAAGACCCTTGCGTATTAAGCACTGAGCTAAGTGCCATTGGCACAACCAGACAGGGTGCAGATCTTGCCCCCAAGGCCTCACGCCGGGAATCTTTCTCTAAGCAAACATGCGAGCACCCACGGTGGGGGGGTGGGGGATGGGGCACAAGCCCGTGTTGCCTTTGGGGGTATGTAAGCCCCAGATTGCCAGATGCTTGCATTTTTAAACTAGCAAATGGGATTTCTGTGGGAAATCTGATTTTTAAGAGTTGGCAATCATTCACGTTTCTACAAAAGCCACTGTGAGGGCCAAGCACGTCTGCAGGCTACATATGCCCAGCAGGCTGCCAGCTGGCCGCTTCTGCTTTAAGCAAAAGGCCCATGAACTCTAACTTGGGAAGCAGTGAGGGCCAGCCTCTAACTCCAGTTCAGTCAGGAGCCAGGCTCTGTGCTCAGGAGTGTCCCTTTACAGGTCTTCTGCCTTCTGGCTACAAAACAGGAATATTGCCACCTGTCCTGACCTGTTCAGATAAATAGAAGAAACATACATTTTTAATGCTACACAGCCTGTGTGCACGAGAGAGAGACAGAGAAAGAGAGACAGACACAGAGAACCCCCAAAGAGGCCTGGTCATGCCACAATCCTTTTCCCTCCAATTCTGCATTCTATCAGGATCCTGGCTCATGCCCATGGGCCAGGCAAAAAGTCACTGGGGCCAGCACCAGAACTTACTCGGCCATGTGGGCTCTGGCTTCCTCTGTCCACCACCTAACCACTGGGCTAATGGGCTGCCCCAGGAAACAGATCTTTAAGACACCTTAAACTCTAAAGTGCTACATGAGTTCATGTATTAAACATGAGAAAAGTGACCTTCGTTTGGCGAAGATTTCTTGGGTGTCTATCACGATCGAGCACTGTCCTAGGAACTGCAGACGCAAAGGTGAGTATCAGTAACTCGGCCCTGGGCTGACCCCGTAGCGCAGCAGTTGGTGTTGGGCATAGAAAGCTAAATCACACATGGTCGACAGCAGCTCAGGTCCTGGCCCCAGTGACTTGAAAAACACTGGGCATGTGAGTTCCCAAAATCCTCATGGGAAAAAGGAATGAAGAAAACAGAATTGCTGGGACCCTGTCCCCCTGGGGAGAGCTCTCTCGCTTTCTCTCTCTCTCGCTTTCTCTCTCTCTCTCTGGCAAGTACATGCACCACTGGCAATAAAAAAGTAATAATCCAGCCAGTTCTCAGAGTCACATTCTAGGGAGGGAGACAGACGAGTAAACAAACAGTCAGTATGGTATTTGCTGTATAAACCTGGTGGGAGGTGGGAGGGGCACAGCGGGAGGGCAGGCAGGGGAGGCTTTCCAAAGGCACTAACAGCTGAGAATATTAATAAGAGGGGGCCAGTGGGCCGGATGGGGCACTTCGGGAACGGTAAGATGCAGAGAAACGAGGAAGGGGTGGGCACGAGGCTAGATAGTTGGACAGAGGTCTGCGGAAGGTGAGGGAGGTGAAGGGTTCCCGGTGAGCTGCTGGAGGGGTTTTTGGGCACAGGTAATGGGAGAGAAGAGGGAAGGAGAGGAGTAGGTGGAGAGAGAAAACAGCCATGACGGGGCCTGGTCACACTGCAATCCTTTTCCTCCAGTTCCCCAGGAACTGGACCCCGGGCGTGTGCGTTCCATCAGGACCCCGGGCGTGTGCGTGTCAGTGTGCAGCCATGGGCTGGGACCAAACCCTCTGGGGCACGTGGGAGCTGGCCTCTTCCGCACAGCATCTAGCTACTGTGCCCCAGTTTGTGAAGCCCTCCAGCTGGGCCCGTGCTGGAGGGCTTCACAAACGTGGACGTGGTTTCTTGAGCGTGTACGGTGTTGAACGCCGTGCTGAGCCTTTGACGTGTTTTATCTCATTAGTTCCCGTATCACAAGACAGGTCGCACGAGCATTTCATCCTGTTCTGTGACACACCTTCCTTTCCACAATGAGGATGAGCTACAGTCAGTCACACGCCTCAGTCACAATGAGGATGAGCTACTGCCAGTCACACGCCGTCGAGGTGAGCGGTGCCCGGAACAGTAATGCCTCTTACAAGAGGGTGGGAGAGCGGGCAGAGAACGACGTGGTGGAGAAAGGCTACTCTCCAGCCCGGGCACACGCGCTGCTACTGAAGCAAACACCGCAGGCCAGGGCAAGTCCCGCGTGGCCAGCGTCTGTCAGGAGCGGACGGTTCTGTCTGGGCTGGGCTGAGCCTAGGAAGTGGTTTGAACGCGGAGGGCGCTAACCCCAGAACCAGAGAAACCATACCATGCAATCTCAGAGGGAGGTGGGAGAAAATGAGGGGACCACGTCAAATGGGGCCAAAAATGGTGGAGCTCATCTCTGGAGAGAAGCCCCCAGAACGTGGCTGAGGGGCCAGCTTCCAACCTGTTCTATGCACGGGCTCAGAGAGCAGAGCTAAGTTCAGCTCAGAGTAAGGAGTGGCTTTCACAGTCTGGAGACGGAGTGGACTCTCTGGGGGTGTTTGGACAGTGAGCGTGAGGGTGGGGAGTCCTTTGAGGATGAGGGGAGTGTTTGGGGTGGGTGGGGCACGTGGTGCAGGCAATCCACGCATCCATGGAGGCTGGGCTATCTCCCTCCAATGCTCCTGTCACCCCTAAACTATTATCATCAAAGCCTAGCTTTCCATTTAGGGCCCTCCCCAATGGCCTTTTGAAGAAGCAACATGGTGCGACCCACTAAGTCTCTTCCCAGACTTGGCATAGAAATGCCAATTATACCAGAGTCGCCTCTGCCCAGAGCAGCTGGGGCCGGGGCTCGGTGAGTCTGAGGCTCTGAAGTCCCCTACGTGTGCCCACCTTCCTGAACATTCGGCAGGTACTGATCTTCAGCGGAGCATGCAGACCTGGAGCTTCTGCTGCCTGTATCTGCTGAAGGAGGACTCCCCGAATGCCGTCCTGGAGTCCAGGGTGGAGGGAGCAGTGCCCACAGACTCCCCTCTTCCAGACAGCACTGAGGCTCCAAGAAAGCACGTGTCTGGCTTTAATACCGTCTCCTGCATGGTGTCCCTCCGAGGCCCTGAGTAGCTCAGAGCAGAGCCCACGTGGTGCGAACCCCAGAGAGGTTGCTGGCATCTGGGAGACTCCAGCTCGCTTTCGAGAGGTCTGAGTGTCCCTCCTCTGTCAGGACTTTGTCACCCTATTGTCTTCATTCAGCTCCTCTTGAACCCCAAATCCGACCTCTCCTTGTGCCTCTACCAGCACCGAGACAATGTCCCTGCAGTCCCCAGGGAAGCCCCTCACTCTAACCTGGCAGTTTGTCAATGAAGACCTGTTAGAGGAGACCTGGGGTTCATCTCACTGCCCACGGCCTCAGGCTCAGGTCCCTGGGAGGAGAAATCCTTCCCTACCTGCACCTAACAGACGGCCGAGGAACCCTCGCCGTCTCTGAGCAGCCTGCACCCCCTGCTTCTGACAATGGCGCCAGCAGGGACAGAGAGTGTCGGTTTGCCCCAGCTGTTCCAAGGAGACCTTCCCAACCACCCTCAGCCCACTGGCTGTAGGCGGTGGCGGCCTGTCCCCTTAGGGGTCCACCTGTCCTTCGGCCAAGTTCACATTGCCCAGGCCACACCAACCCCCTGGCTCCAGGGTTTCTGCACTCCCTTCTGCAGGTCTCCAGAGACCCTGGCCACCTCTGTCTTACTGCCCAGGGACGAGTCTGGTCCTGCTGGTGTGCTAGTGCTGGCTGACTGAGAAACCCACTTCTCTTCTCACTATGCCTTTAAACTTCATCTATTCCAGCTATTTCTCCACCCCTGGATGAAATTTCAGGCAAGTCCTGTAGCTTTGCTATTCACTCCCAGATAAAAGACAGACAGCCTCTTTGTTTAAAGAGTCCAGTTCTGTCTACTAATCAGATCACTCCAGCCCAGCCAGGTTTACAAACCCAAACTCTTAAATTATATTCGATTTAAGCTTCCCCTGCCCCGGGCCTGAAGGAGGGGTGGCTTCCTGGATCAAAGCCAGAACACAAACATTTGGGGGCCATCTGGCCTGGTCCTGCCTTCCTTCCCCAGTTCACATCCTCTTCTTTCCCCAGGGCACTGGGGCCGCCTCTACCCACTGGTGGTCCCTGGCTATGCCACCTCCCCCTCCGTTTCACGGAGAACTCCTGCTTATCCTTCCACATGGCAGTGAGGTGCCCGCTCCCATTAAGCCATCCCTGCGCTGAGACAGAATCTGCCCCACCCCCACCCCATGTACGAGGTCTCCTGCTGTTTCTCAATCACACCGTACACTCCCTCTCTGGGCTTTGTACACTCCCTCTCTGGGCTTTGTGCGTGGCTGTCCTTCCCCCAGCCATTGCTCCTTCACCTCCTTTGGGTGAGGAAGTTGTAATTTATCGTCCCAGTGGTCTTTTTTCCCCTCTTGAAAAACCGAACACCCCACCACAAACTACTACATTCACACTCCATCTCCTGTTCCTGCTTCGTTTTCTCCATGGCATCTACCATCCCGCAGAGAAGCGATTTACTTATCTATTGTAGTTCTCGGCTATCTTCCCCCGCTTGGATACAAGCTCCGCGAGGGCAAGAACTGGGACCAGCAGTTAGCGTAATGGCTATGTCGCTGGACTCCCATGTAGTCGACCGCGGTTCGTGTCCCAGACCCGGTGGCTTAAACTCACACCGGGCTCGTGTGTGTGCGTGCCC